TTGGCAGCCAATTAAAATATATGCTTCATAAATGATTCTTTATATCGCCCACAAAATAAATTTAAATACCTTAAAAACGAAATTAATATAACTTTAAATAAACTCATAACAACCACATAAGTTACCAAATATTCCAATGTGCATTTTCCTACAAAAATTTTTAAATTTGCTGCCAGAAAAATATGAGTTATTAGAACAAATAGGCACATTTAATTGACAAGGAAAATGTCAGAATTTTTGTCAGAAAGCCAAACACATTGAAATAAACAAAACTAAAACTTTCAATTTGTCAAACCTGAAGTACTGTTGGGGTTCAATATTTCTATTTTGGTTTTTGATAGTATGTTATTGAAAATGAAACTATTAACTATGCACGCATTAAAAAAGTAAACTGATGCATATGCTACACTTTCATGCAGATTTCAGATTCATCTTTATTCATCATTTATCACGTACTTGAAATTATTTCCTGGGTAATATACATGTATAACAACGATATTCAATATTCATAGTATATATACACAGAAGGTAACACTCTCACAGACAGACTTTAAATAACAAATTCCTCATTATATAACCTAACAGCACTAGGTAGAAATGAATTTCTGTGTCTGTCTGTCTTTACTCTAATTTGAATTATTCTGCCTGATCTACTGAATGTTATACCACTGTTTAGAGGATGTGTTGCATCATTAGTTTTTCCTCTGAGTTTGTTTATCATGGCAACCTTACATAATTGAGTGATATCCTTACCATCAATACCAATAGTCTTACTGGCAACTTGTGTAATCCTGATAAGTCTGCCAAGATTTTTCTTGGTCAGTCCGGTCATCAAGACTATATTACAAAAAGTAAGCACTGATTGTATAACACTTTGATAAAAGAGATACAATGAGTAGCATTACCCACATTAAAATAATTAAGATTCTTCAGGAAGGTGTTGATAAACTTTAGCATACAGTTTACTTAAGTTTGAATTCCAACTTATGTGCGTTTATTTACTGTAATTTTGATTTAGTTTGTTGTCGTATTAATTACATTTCCATGATCTGAAGAGATAATGACCAGGAACAATTTTTCCACGACCCATACATTGGGTCGCAGCTCATAGGTTACATAACGGTGTTCTATAATACCCTCCGTCTATGAAAGTCCTCCCTGGGGCTGCCTCTATTTTGCATTCCAGGATCCGCTACCGACACCAGATGTTTTTCATGAAGCATGTGACACACTTCTAGTGGTCTACTTTATTGTTAGTAGGCTTTACTTTCTACAGTAAAGCAGATTGTTCTACAATATATAATTTAATACAGGATGTTGATGTACTTGCTACTTCACATTCAATAAAGGAAGAGAAGCTTTAACAAATGGAAGAGAGGATGTGGGTTCCAATTTATTCATGATGTCATCCTCTGACAAAAATACCCAATATTATACATGTGAATTGGCCTATAATAAGTACTTTTACTATCTAATTGGAAGTTTTAGGCGTTGTTATAGTGTTTTGGTGTTTGTTGTGTTTTTCTTTTTATCTTGTATTTTAATATTGTACTGCATATTTTATAGTCTTTTTCTAGTATTCTAAATATTGGCGTTGGCATTTTTATTGTGTTTGGGTGTTTTATCTTTTATTTTATATCTTTGTACTGCATATTTTATTTTATTGTATTTTTATATAAAGTATTTTAAATATTAAATGAAAATGTACTTATGTTAATATTTCCATTAAATTGAATCTGAATCGGAATCTGTAATATTGGTCTAAAAGCACCATTTAAAACAAGCCACAAAATCTCCCCCCTTTTACGGCAACAGGTATTTTTATTCCAGGACCTTGACCGAGGCTCTAGTCGGCCCAATTGAGTCGGACCCGTCGGACATTTCATATTTTCATATTTCATATTTTTTTTAATCAATCTGAAATGGCAACATTAATGCTGAATTACATGAGAATACATTAAAACTCGGAAATACAAAACCGAAAAACACAAAAAAGCACAAAAAGATTACAAAATTGAGAACATTAAAATGAAGTTGAGACCTATAAAACTAGAAATAAGATAAAATTCATTAGATCAAACATTAAAATTCTATTTACATAATAAAATATTTTAAAAAAACACAAGGAATAACAATTGGATTATGATTTATACAAAATTACACATTGATAGATATAAAAATATAAACAATTTACATAAAATTGACTAGAAAAATAACTGTAAATTTCATATTAAACAAGGGAAATAGATGTTTGTACGCTATATTTGGAACCCTATTTCAGGAGCAGTGTCTTTTTGCTGATTTCCAACTTGGGTGAATTGTTAAATGGCTTGTGCATTTTGTTATTGATGTATTTGTTCTAATTGTTGACTTAAGTGTTTCTATTTGTGTCTTTGTATATAAATAAACCAATATTGATTATTTTACCTTAATTCTTTTTCACTATCAAAGTCATCTGTTGATTCAACATGTCCGTTGGTAATTTAATTGCAACATGTTGATTCTATAATTTGGCTTCTGATAACGTAACCTAATCATTTATTGTTGTCTGGGTTTCATGTGTGGTTATCATTAGATCTTGCGGCTAATGCCCTATTTATAGCGTACAAGTGGGCAAAGGTTAGGAGTTGGTGCAATTGTTGCCTTCTGTATCTTGATAATTTGATCACCTCATATTTTTAGTTTTTATGTTAACCAAGTTTGAGCAACACTCACTTTTTAGGGCAAAGGGCTTTCAGCTGAGGCCTTGGATATTTTTGCTAAGGTCCAAGGGTGTGGATTTGTTTTGAAGGTTGGGGGGGGGGGACAGTCATGGTGGGGCTGAGGTGTGAAAATTTGAGGAAATATTAACTCTAGATGGCTGAGTCATGGTGAGGCTGAGGTGTGTGTGGATTTGTTTCGAAGGTTGGGGGGGGGGGAAGCAGT